CTTGTTCAGTGATATCTGCCATACTGAGAAATTGTTTAAATTAAAAACTGCACTTTGGGTGCTTGGGTGGCTCAGTCGGTTAAGCGTCTGCCTTCGGCTCAGGTCATGGTCCCAGGGTCCTGGGATCGAGTTCTGCATCGGGCTCCTTGCTCAGGAGAAGCCTGCTTCTCCCTCTTCCTCTGCTGCTCCCTCTGCTTGTGCTCTCTCTCTGTCAAATAAAATCTTTAAAAAAAATAAATAGAAGCTGCACCTTACACAACAAAATTGTACATCTAACAACTTAGATTAGTTTTATTTTCTTAATTTCTTACAGATTTTCATTTTTGAGTATTTGTTACTTTTTTTCCCCTAAATGTTAGGCATTATAAAATACAGTGTTTACTAACATTATTAGGTGTTGGATCAATGAGTAGAAGATGCATAAAATTACTTAGTTTAATTGCAGAAGGAAATGTTGGTGAATATTGCAATAAAGGTAGGTAGCAAATAACAATAATGAGTTGTAAATATTTCAGGTAGGTTGCAACTAATATTGAGTTGTGAGTATTTCAATGTATTTCTATTTGTAGACTCTGACTAGTGAGGCTTATTTTATTTTATTTTATTTTAAAGATTTTATTTATTTGACAGAGAGAGACACAGCGAGAGAGGGAACATAAGCAGGGGGAGTGGGAGAGGGAGAAGCAGGCTCCACGCGGAGCAGGGAGCCCGATGTGGGGCTTGATCCCAGGACCCCAGGATCATGACCTGAGCCGAAGGCAGACGCTTAAGGACTGAGCCACCCAGACGCCCCTGAGGCTTATTTTAAAATTATTCTTCCTAATTTCAGCAACTGAGTAGGCTTTAATTTCTTCATGGCTTAAAAACTGCTTTCTCATTTTTATTATTTGGTAAAAATTCCAGCTCTGACACATTGAAAAAATTTTTCTGTAATCTGCCCCCTAAAACTTGGACTGTCCTTCCTGTGAGTTACTGTGATGCACATCGATATGCTAGTTCTCTGGGGCTGGTGGTGGTGTCTTTCTTAGGAGACTTATATTTCACTTCTTACCAAAAGTCACTTTGTCCCTTAGGAAAGTGGAGCCACTGAGGGCATTTTCATAGGAACAGTGGGGTGGATGGGTGGGTCAGGGGCGGGGGAGGGATGTCAGATACCGGGATTATTCCTGTTCTTAATGGTCTCTACGCTTTCAGGGGATCTGCAGCACATTTGCAGTGCAGAAGCATGGGGAGATGCGAATCTTTTAAGAAGACAGTAGGCTGCGCTGCTCTTGGTAACCATGGGTACCTGTTGGGTATCATAAGTGTCTAAATTTGGTTGTTTTTGGAAGAAGGCTCTCTAAAGTTTGGGAGTTACGTAACTGTGGCTAGTTAAAGCTTTAGGAGACAGGATTTTGGTATATTAAAGATACTTTATTTAATCTTAGAGTGTTACTTTGATTATAGAGGCCTTTGTGAAAAGCTGCTGATCCTACAGTGTTGTAAGGAAAAACACACTGTGCAATGTTGGATTTAGTGTCGCTTTCCCTCGATGGTGGCAGGTGACTTAACCTCTGAATAGGGAGTGTCCCCTGAGCGATCATGCCTGAAGTGTCACCAGCTGTGGCTCCTGGTTATTTTCTCCCACCCTCTCTGAGATTCTCCCTCTCTGTATCAGTATTTAACAGTATATTTTACGAAAAAATTGCCCGTAGTTTTATGTTCCTGCTTAGCTCTACAACATAGTAAGGCATACATTTACTTTTTGGGTTACAGGTTTTGTTTTAAATGTTTGGTGTTCATGCCCTTTACTCTTTGCATTCAAGTCACCTGTCTTCCTTTCTGGTCCTGTTTTCTGTCTGCATCATCCAGTGGCAATTCTGGTGATGCTCCAGGCTTGTCAAACCTCAAGCGTTGTATTCATTTAATTTTGTGAAATAGCATGTGATTTGATTATGGCTTCCTACCGACAACTTGCTTCTGTGTTTGCATAAGGAAATAATTAGTAATAACACTTTTGTTTCTTGATAGTTCTTAGTAGCAAAGTGTTGCACATAGTTTAGTTACATCTCGGAAGTCTGGGGATCTTGGTTTTTTTTTCCTCTACCGGGTTGTAGAGAAAAAAATTAATAAACTGCTGAGTTATGTGTGTTTTTAGCCCTTGGTATTTAATTCAGAGTTTACAGAGCGGAAGGCTTTGGAACTCCGTGGGTCGTTAGTTTCAGCGCAGCACGCAGTGTTGGTGTGGAGGCTTTCCTTCTGGCTGTGCTCTGCAGCGTTCATGTGATGCACAGCGTGGTTTTGCATTTATAGAGCCTTTTGCCGTAGACTTGGTAAAATCCACATTTCCTAAATTTTATATTTATTTTTCACACACTTAATCTTGCCTGTCTTCTAGTTCATCTTAGATTTGTCTGACTTGTGTACGTCAAACTGTCATGGTAGGTGTTTCAGAACAAGAATTCGTATTTGAATACATCGCTGGAGGATTTCGCCATAGTCGCGGTGCTGAAGGCTTGCATCTCATCTGCTTCCCACAGGCCAGCCCTGCCCCTGCCCCTCCCGTGACGTGGGAATGGTCTAGATCTGGTGGCCACTGTGGGAGCCGGTGGCTCATGTGACTGAGGAGCTGGGCTTTTTATTTCACTTCATGTTAATTCGTATGAAAATAGTCATGTGCGGCCAGTGGATTCTTCGCTGGGCGGCGCAGGCATGTACCCTTGTGCCAGAAGGAGTGTTGGAGACGTTTGCGTGTGACTGAGGGCGGCCGCGCCCCGCGTTGCGCCCCGCGCTCCAGAGCGCGACCTCCTGTCACCAGCGCTCTCACAGATGCGCACGCAGACCCTCGACCTGCTGGGCGCTCCTGTGGAGTCTGTTACCTGCGTTCGCCATGTTCTGACGGGCCCGGCCTGACGTGGGGCCTGACGTGGGGCCTGACGTGGGGCGGCGTGAACACTGGGCTCACGGGCAGCGCGCGGTCAGGCTTTGCCCTCAGCTCTGCCACCGCCTCGATGCCTCATCTTAGGGAGGTCATTTACCTTTCTGGCCTCCCGTCTGTCCCGTGGAAGATGCGCGAGTCTCACATCGCTGTGGTGCCGCCGCAGGTGTCACACTGATTAAGCCCCGGGCAGGGAGGGGCCCCTCCCAGCTTGCATGGGGTGTCGTCTTGTGTGACGGGACCGTGAGGTGTCCGTGCCTCCGAGAACATGCCGTATGCAGCTAGATAAGAGGTTGGCGACGCAGAGCTACTGCCAGGAAGAACGAGGGAAGGAGCCCCTGGGGCTCTGGGCTGTGTGGGCTGGTGCCGCGGGGAGGGGTGGCTGTGGAGCCGTAAGTTTGCGGGCGGCAAGGTGCGTTGTGCCGCAGGGGAAGAAGCCTTGTCAGAAGCCTGACCTTGGCGCGGCCACATGGTAGAAGCAACAGGAGGTGAGAAATAGTAATTTGAAGCAGATTACATTTTATTGGAAGCCTTAATTTTTGTTTCATTCAAGCATGAGCAAGATCACATATCCCCAATATTTTACTGAAATCTACTTAACACCCACCCCCCGCCAACAAAAGGCAGTAAAGGCGGGAATACATACTGTGGCAATCTTAAATCACTTTAATAATATCCTGGTTTGTAACTGCTGGGATTTAAAAGTATCCATTATGTGGGGAGGATGCTCTCTGTCCTTAAAAGTTGGAGTGGGAGGGGTCCTGGGGGTGGTTTGGCACTGACCTGCTTGGTTGTGCCCCTGGCCCTCAGGATTGCCATCACAAGAGAGCTCCTCCAGGTAGCAGTGCTCCCAGTCCTGCGGGCGGGTGGGCGGGCGCGAGGTGGATGCCCACAGCTGGAGGGCGGACTCCTGTCCTTCTGGACTGAAGATTTTCTGTGCACAGCTGAGAGAGAGGCGGATACTCGGTGGAGGTACCCCAATCTCAGTGTACAGGATACCGCCGTGGGTGCCATGCAGAGTAGGCGATTTCCGAAGGTGGACGTCAGTGTGACTGGGGTAAAGGGCTGGTGCGCCCTCCCCACCTGCCATGGGAGACATGCAGTGATTTCAGGATGGAAGTCCTGATAGGCCAACTTCATTGTATCATCACACCTCCTGAGACTGATATTGTCACGCAAGATTTCCTGTTAACTTTCCAGCTGAGTCTGTCGCAGAGTGAAGTTCAGAGCGTCTGCCTTTTGGGGCTGGCTTGCTGTTGTAGCCCGGACTACACCTGGAAGATGCAGTTGAGCAGCCTCCCTTCATAAGCCGTTCTAGGTCTCCTTCTGCCATTTGGAGATTGGAGCAAAGCCAGATTGTTAACGCTGAAGTTTAAATTCACGATTATTATTTTGTGCTTAGTTCAGATGATGTTGATACCTTTTCACCATTTTCTTAAGTATTTTGAGAAAAGTTTATTCTCTCTATCCAAACACGATGGTTTGGATGTCCAGGAAGTGGAAGTGTGTGTGCTGCTGAAGTCCTGAGGCTGTGGCGCATGGACGGACGGGAAGAGAGCTTTAGCCCCAGTTAGCATGAGCGTCTCCTCTTAGACGTCAGTGTCCTTTCTCAATGCTGAATTGAGCCGTAAGTCTTAAGTTTATATTAATGCTACTAAAATGGTCCTCCATAAGAGAGGAAAAGAGGGATTACCTGAGAGAGTTGACGTCTGAGGACCTTTGTCATTGGATCACTGAGTGGTGTATTGAGAATTGCAAACGACACGGCTCTCCTTTTCTCCTCATAGAAGAGCATTGATTGCTTCAGAATCTTGATGGATTTGTCAGTAAGAGGGTCTAAACAGGGGAGATCATTTCCCTGAGGCTCTAGGAGTCATTATGCACTCATACAAGTCTCTTCCAGTGTTTCATGTCAAAGTTACTTCAGTATAACCTATTTTAAGATAACCTTTACAGATGAGCATTATATATGCTATCGGTGTCTGGTAAATACAGAAACAATCAGTATTGGCTCTAAATATGTAGAATTAATTTAAAAAATTTTTAAAAAGCATATATAATGAGTGTCTTTTGTTTCATGCAGTTGCTGTGATTGGCTGATAAATATTTGTCAAAGAAAGAGGGAACTGAAAGCTCGCACAGTGTGGCTTGGATATCCTGAAAAGTGTGAAGAAAAGCATCCCAGAAATTCTATAAAAAATCAAAAATACAATGTATTTACCTTTATACCTGGGGTAAGACTATTACATTCTTAAGAATGAGTTTCATATCAGAGATTGCTAGCTCCTTTTGTTTTCACTGTTTATTTTTTTTATTTTTTCCCCCCTCTTAATTGTGTCATGTCCAAATCAGTGACCTTTTGCTTTTGAACCATTCATGTTTCAAATAGTTGTTAAACAATTCATGCACACTTTTAATGGGTACATCATGGAGTTCAATATGAGAAAATTTATAGTTTGACTTCAGTCCTAGATAAACATATTTATATTATTGTAGAAATAACCAAGTAAGCCTAAATTAAATTATCAAAAAATAAGTCGTAAGTTTTGTTTGGAGGTGAAGTGGAATGTTAAGTTTAAAGCCTGCCAAGGAACTTCATGATGAAAGTAAAATAGTTTTTTATACAAACATGACTCAGTAACAAAATATCTGTAAGCATTTATAGATAATATTTTCTGCTTCACATTATAAATTTTAGGCCATGTTATATTGTTATATCATTAGTTATCTTTAATTAGGTATTATGTTAAGTGTAAATAACGAAGTTTATTTCATTACTTTTTTTGTTGCTAGTGACATTTTTGGCTTAAGTTACAAAACTGAGTATGTATTTAGGATGATTGACTAATTTTTGTTTTTTTGTACATCATTTCCTACTTTTATAGACCAATTTATTCATCTGTCTAAAGGCAAAAGGAAGCTGGTACTGGTTATATTTCTGTATCAAAGTTTCTGACACATTCTAGTTATTCGCTCTTATGCTGTTTACAAGAAAATCTCTTGGTAAAGTGAAGTAAGGGCTGTTTTATTTTTCATGTTTTAATTTAAATAATCACGCTGATTTTATACTGGGCATTGATTGCCCCTCGCCACCCTCCCCCATCCATCTAATAGTTGGCGAATGCTTCATATCTAATTAACTCTTCAGTAAAACACACAAAACTACTGTCTCCATCATTAAAAGACAGCTCTTTTGTCAGGACAATAAAATGTAAGCTGTCTTTCAGGCAGATAAATATTCTCATCTTTATTGAATGAAGCTACAGTTTTCTTTAAATTTTAAATACTCGCAGATGGGCGAAGCATTGTACATTTTCCTGAAGGTCACAGAGTTCATTCAGTAGACAACAGAGTGTTGACTACAGTGGCCTTAAGGCCACAGTGCAGCCTCGCTCTGCCCAGAGCACACCCCTGCCGCCCAGCAGGGTGGGCCGTGTCCTGGGGGCACCTGTTGGTGTGGCTGCTCCACTGTGAGCGTGTGAATTCTCATTCTTAGAATGTCTCTTAAATTAGGCTTTTCATCTAAAACGTAGTATTTTAGAAACATGTGGTAATTGCACAGTAGGAATTCTATGCCATTTTTAGCACAAATGGCAATTTTTGAATTGCTAATAGATATAATTTATGCTAACTGAGATTTTAAAGAAATCACTGAGGAAAAAGAGCTTTCTCTCCTGCTGAGATTAATTTATGAAATGACTCAAAACATCTTTAGACAGCAATTGAATATGATTATGAATATAAACGTGTTACCAATGTAGCTGATTTTTGAGTTGCACAAACAACTGTATGGTAATGTAGAAAACTTCATTATATAAAAACTGTGGTTCCAGACTCTTTAAGTCAACAATAAGTACTTAACCCATTGCTCTGCTCTTGTTAAAATTTCCATACCCTCCAAGTTGCATATAAAATGGCATCCAAGGAGATTTTGATTTGGAAGTTGCAAGGTTGTAAGTTTAATTGCAATTATAGTGTGCCATTTGAATTATTCTCATCTATAAACATGAGATTTGTTCCATTTTGATTTTCAATTTAAATTTAATAATTTGAGAATTTGTAAATAGAAGTCTGTTATATACTGGATCTTGGGTTTTCTTCCTTAAAGATAACTCTGTTTGAATTAAAAAACAAAAAGTTGCAGGATTTGCATTCCTAAAATTTTATTGAATGATACTTATTTTGTATTTGAAAATATTATTGCAGATCAACTGCCAAGAGATTATAAAGAATATATAGGTTGCTGTCTTCCTGAATTGATGTGCAATTCACATACTTTTTTGTCATTATTTCTTATACTTCGAGAGAAGTAAATAGAAGAGATGAAGGCAGTTTCTGTGAAGTCATATTGTGTATGTTTTGCTTGTTCACTCAGTTATTTTAAAGCTACCCAGATGTTCATGTTCAGAAACATGGCTATTATATTTATTTTTTACCATTTCATAAATATAAGGTTAATAGAACTTTCCCATTGTAAGAGTTTCTGAGTTATCAAGATATGCATTTGTGTGTATATAAATAATGTATTTATTGACTTAGTAACACTGGGAAGGTTTCGCTATCTCATTTGCTTTGATATACATACAGAGATTTACAGAGGAGTGTGCAAAACTGGAAATTGTATACAAGTAAATCAAAACTTTTAGAGGATGCTTTTAACATAATTGGAAGTTCTAATTGTTTTTTCAGTATATTTTAAATATAATTTTAAATAAATATATATGTAATTTGGTTACTGGAAAGCCAGTGTCAAAATTACTTAATTTACTGTAACTCAGGGCATATTCTCACTGTTTGATGGAAATGTAGTTAGATATTGTGCTGATTTAATTATTTAATTGAAGTTTTAAAGGTTGTCCTTGGAGAGATTGTGTTAATTTTTTCTTTTCCTTTTTAGGTTTTATATGAACAATTCAAGTTTTTCTTGAATCTCTATTTTCTGGTAGTATCCTGCTCACAGTTTGTACCAGCATTGAAAATAGGCTATCTCTACACCTACTGGGCTCCTCTGGTAAAAGAAAAGATTTTTGAAATTAAGTTAAATTATTAATATTTAGTATTTGGTTTTCAGAGTGGAGATGGTTGAAGGATGAAGTGATCAGGTTTTCAGAAGCATGATACTGCTGCTATGTACCTTTGGGCTTCGCAGCCTTGCAGGGGCGTCGGGCTGTGCGCTGCCTGTGCGTCTTGGCTCAGGGGCCACTGGGCACCTTTGCTGGCGGGCGTGGGGGTGGTCTCCATGGGGCATCCTGTACGTGCCCTGCAATACAAGGTCTGTCTCACCAGCCTGGCTCCCCCTGTGCCGATGGCGCTGTTGGGAATGATGGGGTGGGGTCTCCTCAGTGACTCTCTTGGCATCCTGGTAGATGGGCACTTCTTCCCTTTTGGCTGAAGTATCTCAGTCAGTGAAGTCCAGACGGTTCCTGGTTGGCAGCTCAGCTCAGTGTGTGAAAGTTTTTGAAAGGCAGATGACACTTAGCATGAAATATTTCAACTTCAAACATAATGCTGTTTTAATGGCTTGATGCTGTTTGCCAGTAATTTTCATTAATTTTCAGCTTATACAGGCAAAATGTGTGCCTTCTTTCTTCCTCTCACCTGGAAAAATGTGCTGCTTCCTTTTGGGCAGATTACCAGCATAATCCAGTCAAGAAAACATAGTGAAAGGGCAGGGCTGGCATCCCCCACCTAAGCGCTCCCTTCAGAACTGGACATCTGATCAGCATGCTCCCGACTTAATCTCTTCTGGTTGGTGCCGCCCTGGCCCCCCAGAGAGGGTCTTCTCAGACGCACCGGGGAGGACTGGCAGAGGGGGCCGAAATCTCCCTGACAGGGTCCCTTCAAGCAGCCCCTCCTGCTCCCATCCACACAGACTTTCGAGTAGCATGGATTTGAGCGGTGGAAGTAACTGCATTGTCCTACAAATACAAAATCACCGAATGAATGAATACATGTCCACTCTTTAAATTAGCAAGGTTGGAAGACATTGGGGTTATTTAACTAGGGTGGTCAAGGAAGGCCCCTCTGAGGGGTGGCACTCAGATGCTATCCAGATGACAGAGTGGCTGGGCCGTGTGCAGAACACGGAAAAGAGATGTGCAGGCCAAGGGAGCCGGGGTGCTGGGGTGCTGCTGGAGCGTGGGGACGTGGGGACTGTGATGGATGGGAGGTCAGTGGGGGCTCCCATTTCCTCCTGAGTGGGAGAGGGAGCTGTCTGTCTCTCTAGGTGTCACACAGCACACAAAGGACACTGGAGCTCAGACCCCTGTTGTCACAGTTGGTTCAGGCCAGGTGGCTCTGGACAGAGGACAGAGACTGTTTTCTTTTTTCCTCGCGCCTTTCTTCCCCCTGCAGGCAACTTCTCTTCTGCATTTGAGATTCAGTTGTTATATCTCTCTTAATAATTTTACTACTTATGTTTGGATCACTAAAATAATAGTATTGTTTGCATGCTTTAAAAAATCTATATAAAGATTATCTTACTGTATGCTTCCTGTTGCATCATGCTTTTTTGGCTTAACATTGATTTATAAAATGGATCCATGATGACACATTCACTTTTCACTTCTCTGAAGTATTCCATTGGGTGAATATGTCCATCTTCCCAGAAAAGGAGACTTTGAGGTTTCTTCTCATTTTTCACAGTTACAGACTTTGCTATAATGGTCATTGTGATTGTACATTGTTCCCTGGGCACGTGAGCCGGAGACCCCTTAGGCTGTGTGCATCCTGGAAGTCTGATTGGCAGACTGCTCCTTACCTTTCCCAGTTTCCAATAAAAGCAGTGTAGCATTACAGAAATTTTAGAGCATAGAGAAAATACGTGCTCATCCTAAAGACACGACTGTACTTAAAATTTCAATGTTTATTTCTGGCCACTTTTTCTACCCCCGGCTTCACGAGGTTGCCCTGAATCCCTTCAGTATCACTCCCATCATGGGTTGAAATTCACTTTATCTGTGATATTCTCAGAACACAACATCTTCTTAAAAATCTAACGTAGAATGTGTTCATTTCTGTTTGCTTTTGCATCTTTTCCTATTAACTGTGATCTAAGTAGCTTTTAACCGAAGAGAATGTTAGTTTTAGATGGATTCCTGATGAGGAATTCATGCACAGAATTGACTGTCGGCCAGAGCTGGAGTGAGAGCGTGCGTATGAGCGTCGGTGCCTGTCCTTCCTGGGCTTCCATGTGATGTTTACGTCCTCTGACTCGATTGTCAGCTGGAGGTGTTGGAAGTACTTAGTCCTTCTCTTGTCGGCGTGTGAGAATTAATGATGGCGTTTACAGAAGTGCCTCGGTCAGCCCCTGCTGCGGTGTTCAGGGAAGGGACGTTGTTACTCTGCTGCACTTGCGTGTCAGGGGCCACAAAGAAAGGTGAAAAGCCCATTTTTCCCATTTGAGTACGCTTCATGTTGCCTTGTGACACGCCTGGCCAGCTTCTCATGTCCCTGCTCTCCTACCGCCCCGTCAGACCTCAGAAGTGGTCTGCTTTATGAAGCCGTGTCCTGTTGTTCTTTGGTTGGGTAGCAGCCACGATCGATGCCTTTCATCAGATAATCAGGACTGAAGATTTGTTAGTATCTGTGCTTGCACTGCTGTATACATCTTAACCTCTGATTTAGCAAAACTCTTAAAAAGGTGATGTGTCCATTAGATTCACCTTTGAATCCAAGAGGCAGGCTGAGGTATATTGGTTCCTTGATCCAAACTCACCTAAGAAAAAAATTTTTTAAACTGAAAATTCAGATATTATATACAGAAGATCTTTTTTATTAATCTAGGCAAACTTAACCTTTAAACTAAATCTACATCTAAAATGTGTAAATGTACACACACACACACACACACATATACTATATATATTATTATTTTTTTAAATAAAGGAGGTATGCTTCAGCGGGATTCTTTCCTAGCTCCTGATTCCTTGCTCTTTCTTGCCCACTGTGTTTGGCCCTGGCCTTTGTCGAGGGCCTGCACTAGCATGTGGTCCTTACACACACACTCAGCGTTTGACGTCTTTTCTCTGCCTGCTTTCTCAGGTTCTGTAAGTACCTGTAAGGTTGCTCAGAGAAAGGAATTAGTTAGCATTTCCCAATTCCTCTTTGCCAGAAACCTGCCAGTGGAGCATAAAACCATCACATAGCTGGTGGTTATAAAATCTTACGTCTGACGTCCACTAATTTTAAACAAGGCACTTCACATTTGTTCTGCTCTCCACCTCAAGGGTATTTCTGAAGACAGTGATGGTTTAATAATCTTTCTATATCAAGCACTCTGGCAATGTTATTTACCAGCTTCAGCTCTGATCTAATTTCTGTTATATTTTGCCTTAGAACAGGAGAGCAAACTGAAAATAAGTGATTTTACTGCGTTCTTGTGTCAGAAAGAAGGTTACCTTTTGCATCATTCAGTTTCTACAGCAGCTCTTTGAGGAAAAGCTAGTGTAATCAGAGTAACAAAATGGATTGTAATGCTTCTATCAGAGTTAATCAGGTAGACTAGATCTAGCCATGCAGGCGGTTCTTAGATAAAGGAAGTCTGGATTGTTAACACTGCATCTTCCACGTAAGCTGGGTTCCTGGTATTTTGTTAATGGAAAGTCAGATAGACTGCGTAGGTGAGCGGCCAGTCTGCGAGGACTCTGCTTTTTGGTCCTTCTGTCCACTCTTTCTTCTGAGAGTCTCTGCATGTTGGAGGTGTGGGTGGAGTACGGAAAGGAGGAACCAGATCAGCTACTTGGGCTTATACCTCCTGCTGTCCAGAGACGAGCATGCTCAACATAAGCTGCACATTTAGTGTGACCTTTGCCGAAGTACGTGTGCTGCTGGTGTCTCAGTCTCCCTGTCTGAAGTAGAGCTGAGGGTACACACCTTGTAAGGTTTCTGTGGCATTTGAAAGGTAACTTACTCAGAATACGTAGAGAAGTCTCTGGCGTGGTTAAACTGATACTATAATATATAGTAGAATTTTTTCTCATTTTATAAAATACCTCTTGTTTTGGCACTTACTCCACATGGCCCCTGGGCCATCTGGAGAAGAAGGAAGAAGGAATTCTACTCTGTGGCACAAGATTTAGTCCCGGCCCACGGACCGGCTGTGTGACACATTCCTGTCAGGCATTGTGACTGACAGACCTGATGCACAAATACTGTGGTTTCGCTGTGAAATGCTGTCACCCTCTTGGGTTTGCTTTTGGCTCTTCTAGGTGGCATTACTGTAGCTTCCATCTTTGACCTGCTTGGTGCTGAGGCCATGGGAAGGTCCAGGTACTCCTGTGGAGCCGCTTGTCCACACCTTCCATAGGCCACCGGTCTGTTCTGATCCAGTTACGACCCAGTAGATCTAAACTCTGAAGGCGGAGGCCCATGTGTGGTAGACTCCAGTTGTTAAGAAGGAAACGGTGGCATGGCATCTCTTGCGCCTTTCTGGTCATCTGCTTTATGTTGCAGGGCTGGCTCTTGGGGCTTTTCTCAGGGTAGATATGCCAGCGACGGACGTGGTGGTATGGGAGTGACACCTCTTGGTTGTGGCTGGTCCTACACATCTGTCCTGTATTCAGGTAAACCTTAGATTTGGGGTGTGGCCCAGAGCAGCTTGTAGGTACTAGCAGTCTTTGCCTGTGACCAGGGCTCTGTCCCCTTGAAGAGTGCTTAACTCCTGTTTCAGAAGTTGGGACCTGCCCCTATTTGGTAATCTTCTCTAATATTACTGCTATAGAAATGAGAGTTTATTTCCACTCCCTGAGTTCTTGAAAGCACTAGGAACTATTACATTTTGTGGCTTATAATTGATGAATGGAGAAGTAACTTTTGCTGTCTTTAAGCCATACGTGTCCTGGGTGAAAGTTAGATTGACCTGGAGAGTCTAGATGACATATATATGTGTGGGCCTGTTCCTTGGACAGGAGAGGTGAAAGTACACATTCCAGGCAGGGCTCGAGCAAATCTGTAGCGCAGAAAACCTTCCAGGTGATGGTGCTACGTTAGCCTGATTCGGAGCCACTCCTTTAACAATACTATCTTCAGTCTCTAAGGAACAGAGGCTCGACAGCCATTCTCCCCTCTCTCTCTCAGGGCGAGGCGGTCACAAGTAGAATTGTAAGAAATTACGTATACACTGTGAACATGGGTCTGCAACAGTAAATATTCTCCTGCATGAGAATGGCTGCATAGAACTGTATTTCCTCCTTCGGTGGATGCGTATGTTTCATGTTACTAAAACTAAGTTGAGACTCAGAGCTTTTGTTTTTAAAGTGGTATCGTCTTCCCACCTGAGACTAACCGCATCTTTGAATTAAGGAGATACAGTATTTCAACATATGAGTGTACCATGAATTTCCTATTTATAGACATGCAGGTTATTTCCAGTTTTTTATATTTGATGCTGCTGGGATCCTTGTTTTGTTTTGTTTTGTTTTTTAGGGTAAGTTTCCAGAAGTGAAACTGTTTGGTTAAAGTGTGTGCAAATTTTAAGGCTTTTGATAACACTATATTTGTTAAAAGAATATTTTGGTATCTCCTGCTTTGGATTTTCATAGTTTTTTCTTTGTCTTCCTGTACTAAAAGACATCTAGATAGAAAGGAAAGAAGGAAATATGGCTCTTTTCACAGTGGCATGATCTTGTACGTTGGGAAGTCTGAGGTGTCCACACACACAGAAATGTTAGAACTAATAAATGAGGTAGTAAGGTTGTAGGGTACAAGATAGATACACAAAAACCACTTGTATTTCTGTATACCAGCAACGAGCATCTGAAAATGAAATTAGGGTAACAGTTCCATTTATAGTGGCATCAGAAAGAAAAAAATAGGAATAGATTTAGCTAAAATACAGGGTTGCCTGTTGGAAACTAATAAAACATTTTTTTAAAAAAAAATCAAAGATCTAAATAAATAAAAGTCATCCCGTGTTCAGGAATTGAAAGACAGTATTGTTACAGTGACAGCACTCTCCAAATTGATCTGCACATTCAGTACAATCTCTGTCAAAATCCCACTTGGCTTTTTGGCAGAAACTCACGAGCTGATTCTAAAATTCATGTGGAAATGCAGGAGACCCAGAGTAGCCAGTGCAACCTAGAAAAGAAGATCAGCATTGGAGGACTCCTGCTTCCCCATTTCAGAGCTCATTTCAAAGCCACAGTAATCAAGAAGGTGTGGGACTGGCAGAAGGATAGATGAATAGACCAAGGAATACAACGTAGAGTCCAGGAATAAACCTTTACACTCATGACAGATTGGTTTTCGGCAAGGATGCTAAGACCGTTCGGTGGACCGTTCAGTGCACTCAACGAATGGTGCTGGGGCACCTGGACAGCTGGATGTGAAAGAATGAAGTTGGGCCCGTCCCTCAGGTCATACCCAGAAAACCACTCGTAAGGGATCATAGACCTCAGTGGAAGAGCTAAAACTGTAAGACTCCTGGAGGAAAACAGAGGCAAATTTTTGTGATCTTGGACGGTAAAAGCCCAAGTGACTAAAGAAAAACTTAAATAAATTGTATTTATCAAAATTAAAAACTTTTGGACATCAGAGGATACCATCAGGAAAATAAAATGATAACCTAGAGTGGGGGAAAATATTTGTAATCTCACATATGCTAATCACATGTCTAACGAGGTATTTGTTTCCAGAATAATACGAAGAGCTCTTACAGCTTCACAGTGAAAAGACAAATGACACCGTTAACAGTGGGTGTAGGATCTGAACACACATTTATCCCAGGAAGATATGAATGGCCAATAAGCTCCTGTTAGGGGGTATAACCACTTTGGGAGGCAGCTTGGCCGTTCATCAAAATGCTAAACAGGCCACCTCACCCAGAAGAGGCAAATTCATAGAGACAGAAAGTTGGACTACTGGTTGCCAGGGGTTGGGGGCTGGAGGGGGATGAGGGTGACCACTGTCCAGTGTGGGGTGTCTCTCTCTTTGGGGTGATGAGAATAGTCTATGGTCAGATGGTGGTGATGGTACAACTCTGAGTGTAGCAGGGAGGATCAGCTTTGAGTAAACGCAAGGGCTCACCTGATGTGGCCTGTTGGTGACACAGACACAGCCCGGGAGTGACAGACTATTGTCCTTTGAGGGCAGTTGTCCAGTGTTGGGTCACTCACAGAGTAGCCTGGGGAATGCACGTCAGTGTAACATGCAGCCTTCTGAAGAGTCTGGCCGTAGAGAGGTAGACTGGAAGAGTATTCACCCTCGGAAAACACGAGTGTAGCCCTGAGATGTCAGCCACGTGTCAGGGGAATAACGGACTTCACGACAGGCACAAGCACATCAGCGTTGATTTGTGTGGCCTCAAGCTGACCTGTTGAGGTTTTGCTCACAAAGCGGGATAAGCCTGCGCAGGAGGAGGCTGTCGTGGTGGGATTGCGCCGCGTTCCTTCCTGCGTCCTTCCACCAGCAGGATTCAAGTGCAGAAAGCATGAGATTTTATCTCAGCCTTTGGTAATTTGATATTTAAAGGCTCGAGCGTTCTAAATATAATTCCTGGGTTGGTTTTTTGTTTGTTTTTTTTTTTTCAGATTGTTGATTTCTTTTTTCTTTGGGTTACTAAGTATTTTCTGATGTTTAGCTTGAAGTACATGTTATGATATGAATTTTAAAAAATTATTTGGGAATAGGGAGAATTGTAAATCTTTTAGTATGTATTCCTCTTGTAGTGTTGCATTATTTTTGTCCTTTTGTTTTCATTTATGTTTTAGAAGTAATATAAATTGAGGGAGGAAAAGTAAAACTGCTTGGTTAAAGAATAGTCCCTTAACTTTTTTGTTAAAGCTAGTTTTCTCAAATACTATATTTTATTTTGTTTTATAGGGATTTGTTTTGGCTGTTACTATCATGAGGGAAGCAATTGATGAATTTCGGCGTTTTCAGCGAGACAAGGAAGTGAATTCACAGCTCTACAGCAAGCTTACAGTAAGAGGTTAGCAAGACCCTTTTGATCTAGCTTATCATTTGCTAACTAATCATCATTTTAGAGTTAACATAAGTGAAAGAAAACATGTCTTAATTCTGTTAGAAAATAGTATGTGATTACGTATGGTATCTAATTTTTTTTAATAATCTAATGTCTACAATTTCAAGAGAACACATGTGAAACCTAACTGGTGTATGCACATTTTCTGTGACTATCACCTACCCAAAATCTGTTTGTGTTCTATTTAAACACAATCATAAAGGTCGGACAGACATCTGGTACCATGGCCTTAAGTGAAGGGAACTTGGAGCACCTACAGTAAATGTCATGATCCAAAGTGATAGCTGCTTTATGTCCATTTCTCCTTCACTTCATTCAGGGCTTTAAGCCTTCCCTAATTTTATGTTTTTAAAGAGCTTATTTCTTTGGTCTCTCAGTCCCAGTGGAAAAGAAGCGATGTGTAGAGGAGTGTGGGAGAAGCCGTTATAGGCGGGCATTATGCCTGTCGAAAAGTGACACCATGACAGTCATTACCTCAGCAGGGGACTGTGAAGGGGGGTACTGAAGAGCTAGACAAGTATTCATAATAACTTGGAAGCTGCTTATAAAATGAGGTTTAGAGTGGAGTTTGTATCTTCTGTTTACATGTTGGACATTTGTACACTGAATTTATTTATTTGAAATAATTCTCCAAAAAATTTTTCTGTAGCTTATTGGGATGTATTTCATATAACATAAAGTTTATCCATTTAAAGTATACAGTTCAGTGGTTTTTGGTATGTTCACAGAGTTATGAAACTATCAGCACCATCTAATTTTGGAACTTTTTTTTTTTTAAAGACTTTATTTATTTATTCGACAGAGGAGAGCACAAGTAGGCAGAGTGGCAGGCAGAGGGAGAGGGAGAAGCAGACTCTCCGCCGAGCAGGGAGCCGGATGTGGGACTCGATCCCAGGACCCCAGGATCATGACCTGAGCTGAAGGCAGTTGCCCACCCGACTGAGCCACCCAGGCGCCCCTAATTTTGGAACATTTTTAACATTCTAGAAAGAAACTGAATATATTAGCCGTCATCCCATTCTTGCCCCTTCTGACCCTCTTCCAGGCCCAGGCAGCCCTCAGTCTGCTTTCTGTCTCCGTGGATTTGCCTCTTAGGACAGGTCACAGAAGTGGAATTGTGCAGTATGTGGGCTTTTGTCACAGGCTTCTTTCACTTGGCATCCTGTGTTCAAGGTTCATCGGTGTTGTGGCACCTTTCAGGCTTTATTTCTGTTTGTTGCCAAATAATACTCCACTCTGTGGTATTCCGTGTTGTGTTCACCCATTCATCTGTAGATGGACGTTTGGTTTGTTTCCACTCTAGGCTTTTGTAAATAATGCTGCTGCGAATGTCTGTATGTGAGTGTTTTTGTGTGAACATTGTTTTATTTCTTTTGTAAATATACCTAGAAGTGAAATTGCTGGATTATATGGTGACTATGTTTTTGATAAACTGCCAAGCTGTTTTCCTAATTGGCTACACCGTTTTGCATTCTCACTGGCAATGTGTGAAGGTTCCAGTTTCTCCACATCCTCATGGCACTGTTATTGTCTATCTTCTTTATTGTGGCCATCCTGTTGGGTGTGAAGTGGTATCTCACTGTGGCTTGATTAGTGTTTCCCCAATGACTAGTGATATTGAGCATCTTTTCATGTGCTTATTAGGTGTTTGTATGTCTTCTTTGGAGAGATGTTTATTCAGATTTTTTGCTTGCTTTTTTTTTTTTCCCTTGTGTGTACCTCTTTTAAGATACCACCTTTTTTTTTAAATTTTATTTTACTGTGTTATGTTAGTCACCATACATTACATCATTAGTTTTTGATGTACTGTTCCATGATTCATTGTTTGTGTATAACACCCAGTGCTCCATTCAATACGTGCCCTCGTTAATACCCATCACTGGGCTAACCCATCCCCGGGCTTACTGTTTTAACTGGGTTGTTTTTTTAATTATTGACTTGTAAGCATTCTTTATATAATCTGGATTTAGGTCTCTTGTCAGTATATGGTTTGGAAATATTTTGTCTCATTCTGTGGCATGTGTTTTCTTCTTCTCGGTGTCCTCTGACGCACAGAAGTTTTCATGTTGATGATGTCCGCCTCATCTGTGTTTTCTTTTGTTGCTTTTGCTTTTGGCATTGTAGCTGAGAAACGATTTACCAACCCAAGGTCACAAGGATTTACTTCTGTATTTTCTTCCAGGGATTTTATAGTTTTAGCTTTGACATTCAGATGTGTGATCCACTTTCATTTCATATTTTGTGTATGGTGTGTGATATGGGTCCACATTCCTTTGCATGTGAGTATCCAGTTGTCCCAGTACCATTTATTGAAAAGACTATTCTTTTGAGGTTAAATTGAATGATTATTAAGAAGCTTTGATGCTTAAAGCTGTGGCATGGTAGAGGTTAGGTGTGTTGTAGAAAAGAGGTAAGCTTGCGTTTTGGAAAAGAGAGTCCCCAGAATGGCCAGGCAAATTAGGTGTAACCTTGGTGTGTCTTTTTTAGAATATAGTATAGATCCCGGCTTATCTTTTAAATTGTTTTTAACTGTGGTATTTGGACTTTGTAGAGATTTGTTTCTGTGTATTAATTGTATCATTCAGAACTAAGTGGTATGGTGGTATCTGAGAAACTGGCAGAGGAGACAGTCCTGCATGCCCTTTCTTCCACAGAAACACGGAAAAGCCAAGCGCCTGCCATGAGGAATGCAGCCCACATTCTTGACTGGGGACTCTGGACCCTGCTCTGAAGGGAGTAGAGCAGGACTTACTTGCAGAGAATTGTGTCTGTCTGTCCAACCTGTCAGGGACACATGAAGGACGGGCTCAGGATGTCTTTCTTTCATGTAACTTGGATGTCACTCAGGGCAGAGGAGCCAAAAGCCAGTGGGCACTTCTCAAGCCTCTGTCAGGCTAAGGAGGCAGCGGTAGCTCGGGGCCACCACTGGTAGTCGACACACCGAACAGAGGGTCACATGCCAGGCTGAGGAAGCTGGAGAGGGGATTTCTTTGGAAAATTAGGGCATGTAAAAGTGCCTGTGTTTACTGGGGAGTTTTGAAAGCCATATCCAAGGCCAGCCCTGGATCACGCTCAGAAAAGACCCCGAGAAAGTGTTTTGCCTCTGGCCAGTCTCTAGGCTCAGTGCAAGCAGAGGTGAAGGCTCAGGCTGAGTTCCAGGCAGTCTGGCTCTGTGTTGGGGTCCCCAGCACAGAGGCAGTCTGCAACGATTGGGAGAGGTTGGTCTCACTTTCTCTCCTCTGTCCTTCTCCCTTTCTCCCTCCCTTGCTTCCTTCCTCCCTCCTCTCAGCTCTTTCCTTCTTCCCTCCCACCATCCTTCCCTTTCTTTCTTAGTCTCGCCCCCTCCCCATGCAAGGAAATCCTTTCCAAAACACTGGCTGGAAGACTTCTCAGTCCAGACATGACAAAGAATACACACTTCACAAAATGAGTCTAGAGAAGTCACCATACGTGCATGGCTACAGCATATACTGAACAACAAAACAAACCAAGAAGAGGGGGAAGGGACTGATTTCCTGAGTTACAAGATTATAATAGAGTGTACAGGTTTCCACAAAAAATTTACAGAATATGCAGAGAAACCATGTGGCCCAGTCACAGAGGAAATGAACAGAAACCGTCCCTGCAGAAGCCCAGATCCTGGACTTAGGAGACAAAGTCTAGATCAGCTGCCTTAAATCTGTCCAAGGAGCTAAAGGAAACAACTGGAAAAATGCTGAAAGAATTAGGAAAAATGATGGGTTTTTTTGTTTTGTTTTGTTTTTTAAGATTATATTTCTTTATTTGACAGAGAGAGATACAGCTAGAGAGGGAACACAAGCAGGGGGAGTGGGAGAGGGAGAAGCAGGCTTCCCGCGGAGCAGGGAGCCCGATGCTGGGCTCGATCCCAGGACCCTGGGATCATGACCTGAGCCGAAGGCAGACGCTTAACGACTGAGCCACCCAGGTGCCCCGAAAAATGATGTATTAACATGCAGAATACCAATAAAGGTATAGAAATTATAAAAGAAGCAAAAAGCAAAAATTCTGGTGCTGAAAAGTACAATAAACTAAAGGAAAAACTCACTGGGGAATGTCAGTAGCAGAGTTGAGCTGGCAGAAGAAGGAGTCAGTGACCTTGAACCTAGGTGATTTCAATAACTAGATAATTTCAAGTGGAATTATCCATTCTGAAGCAGAAGGAAGAGTGAAGGAAAATAAGCAGGTCCTAAGGGGCTTGTGGATAGTGCCAAGTGTACCAATGTGCACACAGTGGGCATCTCGGAAGGAGAGGAAGGGAGAAGGGAGAGAATGTTGTAGGGAAGAGTGGCCATTAACTTCCCAATTTGATGAAAGACATGACTACATATTCAGGAAAATCAGTGAATCCCTAGAAAGATAAATGCAAGGAAATCCGCACTGAGACACATGACAATCAAACTGTTGAAACCCGAGGACCAAGAGAAGATTCTGAAAGCAGCGAAGAGAGAAGCAGCAAGAGAGAAACACACAAGGAAGGGCTCTTGAGTCAGAAACCCTGGAGGTCAGAAGGAGGTCAGAAGGACCGGGGGGGGCGGGCAGCTGCTTAGTGGGCATGACACGTCCTTCTGTGGTGAGGAAAATGTTTTTGAGCTTGATAGAGTGGGTTGCACAACACCGTGAATGGACTCAGTGCTATATTATTCACTTTAAAATGGCTGGTTTTGTTATGTCATTGTCACCTAAAAATAGTGAAAAATGTTGAAGAAGGCATACTAATCTTATGTCTTTTACACTTCCGTGACACTCCAACTCAGAATATTTTAAAAATAATTGTCAGTGGGTTTACTTCAGAGACAAATGCAAATTTACCTCTTTAGTGTCAGGTAACTTGCTCATTTGCATAACCAGCATTCGAGGTAGGTTGGCTTGTCTCCACGTTACAGGTGAGGGACCGGAAGCTCAGGCCAAGTGATTTGCCCTGAGCC